ACAAAATATAGAATTCTGAAACTTGTGGTCTTAAATACATTGTAATATTTGTGTGACTATAAAACTTCTCACTAATGATAAAATAGAAATTTTATAGCTTGATTATTTTTAAATACAGACATATGTCATTCATTTTTAACAGATTGATAATAAAATAGTGCTACAATCGGAAAGAAGGGAGTATCTGACATGTTTAATACCAAAGGTCATTTTTTTTTTTTCTAAACTCGCTGTGAGGTCAAATTTATAGTATAATCATCATAAAACATGGATTATATATATATATATATATATATATATATATATTCCTTATTAATTAATTAACATATCTCAAAAAATTGGTTAATTTTCATTCAAGAATTTTACTTTTTATTTTTATATAATAAACGTTTTAAATTGTTTATGTTTTTATATTATTATTTATATTTTATAATGTATATATCCTTTTACATATTATTTTACAGAATTGGAAATAAAAGTAACACCAATATTTTTCCAGGATTAAAAAAAGAGAGAAAAATAACAATTAAAGATTTAGACCCTCCCGAAAAGTAACAAATAACAAATTTTTCTTAATTTACGTATTATTTTATTTTAATTTGAATATTTTAAAACTTTAGAGTATTATAACAAAAAAAATAGATAATACCTAAGATTGAATCCAAAAGAATAGGTAACAAATAACAAAAAGATTCTTCTTTTCAATATTTTTCAATAATATTTATCTATGTATAATATTGATTGAAAATTTGAATATGTACATTTTAATTAATTAAATTAAAAATGTAATTAAAGTTCTTGTATTAGATGTTTAAAATAGTTTCTCTCTATAAAATAATCTTAATATTAAAAGCACATTGATACTTGCCCTTTTTCGTAATTCGATTCTCAAAAACACTTTTTAAAAAAATTAGTCAAACACAAATTGCTTATCAAAAACATTTTTCAAATGAATTTATCAAACACAAATTGCTTATCAAAAACATTTTTCTATTGAATTTGTCAAACACAAATTGCTTATCAAAATCATTTTTCAATTAATTTTGTCAAACACAAATTGCTTTTTTTTTAAAAGCACTTTTCGAAAAAGCTATATTAAAAAAAACGTGTCTAAAAATAAGTAGTTTAGTCAAATTTGTTAAATAAGATATCTTTATTTCATTTAATATTTTGTTTGAGGATTAAAGAGTTACTTAACAGGTGGATTTATCATAATGGTGAGAGAAAATAATCTTTGGTAAATAACGTTTAATTATGAAATAATTTTAGTGTTGAATATAGTAACGGCGTCTGAATTTTTTCTAAGAAAAACAAACCCCCAACTATTACATGGCAAACGACACAGAGGGGCGGCGAAGGAAAAGTCTAAAGTTAACCTCTTAGGCCGGTTACTGGTTAGAGTTATGCATGTATTAGTTATGCATGACTTAGTTATGCAAGTATTAGTTATGCAGGATTTAGTTATGTTGGATTTAGTTTTGTAGGTATTATTTAATTATGTAGAGATTACAATACATTATAATATTTACAGTAAATATTCTATCAATATATACAATATATTGTTTATACATTTTAATACACCAAATATATGAATTAACATATAACGCTAATATATGATTAACATATGCGCCGTCGAAATATATACCATCCAATTTGTAATATTAATAAAATATTTACATTTGGAATCCAAATGTAAACAAAAAATAAAGGCCAAACACATATGCAGACCCTTAAACTTGTTTCTAAATTTTATTTTGGCACTCCAACTCAACTTTGTTCCATTTTAACCCTTTAACTCCAATTTTTATGTTTCATTTTGGCACTTCTAAGTGATGTGGCAGAGTGTGTGCATCACACTTTCTCTAAAAGAGTGAAAGACAAAAAAAAGTATTTTTTTAAAAAAATAATAAAAAATTAATCCTTCAACTCTATTTTTTATTTACTATTTAAACACAAAACACTAATTTTATGATTTCTTTATTTCTATATATGCTCTTCAACTGCAATTTTGCATTTTAAAAATCATCGTTCATCCATTAGTTATTGTAAATAAAATCTAATTGACCGATGATCATTTTATTTTTAAAAGTAACAATTTCTTTTTGAGTTTTTTCCTGTATTTTTGCGTGAAAAATAACCGACGAAAGTGCGTCGATTTTCTTTCTTGAGAAAATCAATGACAACCCAACGAATTCTATCGAATTTCAATATTTTTTTATAGTGTTATTAATTAACAATGAA